TTGTCTGAGGTCTTTGTGTAAGACATTCATTCTGTGACAACACTGCAAAATAAAGAAAGCACAAATAAAAGATGGCAGTGTCGGAAGAAAAAATTTGATAGAGATTCTCAAAAACGAATATTGCAGGGGTACTGCACTAGCACAAGTAGTTTGTTGGCCTCTAGAATTGCATTCCGCGCCTTGACCTATCTGAAGCTGGTTCGAAAGCGATCTCTAGGGAAATTGATTCTCCAGCGCTCGCTCACTCTTAACCGCCGTAAAATGCTTGGCAAGCTGGCAGCTTAAAAAGCTCCTGGGCAAAAAAATGGTTTCAGTTTTGCTAGCAAAAAAAGCGATCAATCGGATTACTGTATTATACGTGTATCTAAGTTTTAATTTTTGAGAAGCACTGGTACATGAGAAAAACTGAATAGAGCTTTTAAAAGCACGAGTTAAAGTTTTTGAATTAAAATGAACAGGACGCTTAACTAACATGGAGGCATAAGACAGTTCAAAAAAAAGAGCTCAAACGGAATTTCTTCTGCGCGGTACCAGAACATCGAGGGTCGAGCCACAAAGTTATTGAAAGTGAATCGCTAAAATTACGGTGCACTCCTCAAATACCTCTAAAAGAAAACTAAATAGGCAAACAGGGAAATTGCAAGAAAAAGGGAAGGTTTATCTAAGCGTACATCACTGGTTCGTGCTTGACAGAAGCCTGCAAAAAGCCGTTCGACAGATGGTTCACTGCTATCTGAGGTGCCAGCTGCTGAGTGGTTGTAGTGAGAGTTGGGATGGATGTAAGCTGGGGGAATACACTCAGTGGTTGCGCCAAAACGTTGCACCATTGTTCTGGGCACTGCAAAAGCAGCTGTAGCTGCTGACTTTGAAGGATCATTTGCTGTGACAGTAGGGGTCCTTCCAGGAGTCGTTTGAACGCGTACCACTGAGAGTCGTACGGATCGAGGAGTAAATTTTTGTATGGATCCGGAATAACACCGTGGAATGCCGACTGCTTGCTTTCCATGGTGAACTGGTTCCCGAGTTTCGCTGCTGGTCGATCAGCACTAGGTGCAGCTGCAAAGGAATCAACTCGCGCCCTGCAATCCAGCGATCCGTCGTTGCTTACATGCGCTGTACCCGTGCCATATGCAACAGTGGCCGGCATAATTGGTAATTTCAGGCCCAGTGAAGGACTGGCCAGATCACGTACTGACGATACGGATGGCGAAGTTGGATACTGAAGTGTTGCCGCTATCCCATCCGTCACATCTGAAAATTGAATTTTCGTTTTCTGCAGAAATTTTTTTCCAAG